ATTTTGTTATTAAGTTTACTCTGAATTCTATTAAATAATACTGAACTCCCAGTGCTTCTTCTTGGTCCTGTCCTCATAGTTATCACATTCTGTTACTAAATAATGTTTTATGCACTACTTCTATTGTAGGAGGAACAGAACAGAACTGTAGCTCAGCTGTATACTCTCCCCGTAGACATTAGGTACTTATTCTTTTGACCTTTTCCAAACTCAGACACCCCAATTTCCTGTACACGCTCTGAAGATATGGCATCGTCCACAGATCAGGGGACGTTTGGAACCAAGAAAAGGAAGTTAGTGTGTTGGGCAGCTGTTCTTTAACCTTTTATATTCAAAGTATTGGCTGCGCAAAGCGTGGGCTCTTTCATTCCTGGGTCTTGTAGACCGAGAATGTGATTTCTGGTTATGATTTATTTTGACAGAGTTGTGTCATCGAAGCAAGCTGGACAGTGTATGGAGTTAATTACGAAATTATTTTACCTGCCTTCTGGCAAGTAACTAGTTTGTCGTTGGCATTAATATTCCTTTTTCCCGGCACCAGTTTCACGCCTTCATCTCCCCCCCGCCCTTCCTCCTCCTCTCTTCTTTTTTATGAGTGTTTTAAGTATTTTTAAAATAGTATTTTAAATTTAATTAAATAGTTTTTAAATTTGAAATTGTAATTTTATTTTTAAAGTTATCATACAGGCTTTACTTTGCATTGACGACAATATTGACTTTCAGCTCAACAGATACCAAAAATATCCTAAAATTACTTTCCTAAAGTTATCAGGAAATTGCACTATGATAGTAAAATCAGCCACATCAACCCTTTATGATTTATTGCTAATCCGATCAGCATTATACCTCACTGGTTAACTGCCTTGGATCATTACCAAGTCGCTAATCACTTAGTAAGTGAGTATCTAAAGGTCATGTCTTTGAGTAGGCTTTCAATTCGTGGATTTTTGGGTTTTGTTCCTAGACTGTGGTCTGTGTGGGCCTACATGGGCTTATCAAATTCTGTCTTTGGAGTACCATGAAAATAAAGATGATAGATATTACTTGATCTCCAAATTGACCTGCTAATGGCACTCGATTTCATCAACCACAACCTGAATTCCCTTATATGTGCTTTATATCGGTGACAAGGAGACAGGAAAACCCAACTGGAGTATGTTTCTAACTATTAGCTGTTTCTTCAGGTGACTAGAGGGACGTGCCGTTTCTTCATTCACATGAATTTGAAAAATTACTTAAAGGGACTTTCTTAGGTTAGAGTAGACCCACACCTTTTATTTAACTGGGGACGAAGATCTGGGACTAACACTTCTCAGCACTCACCCCCATCCATTACCAAACACACCCCCTCACTCATACATTAGAACCCAAGGGTCTTGAGGCAGCACCTGGAATTGTGATCAGCACATGGTAGGTGCTCACTCAATACTTGAATAAAGCAATCTCCTCGTACCTGGATTTAGTTGAGGTGGACTAATAAAAGGGCCTGCTACTTTGTATCTACACAGCAAATATTTGTAGAACAAATGACTGAAGCAACCTAGTTCCTGCTGAGAAGTAGCTAGCTAGAAAACTTTAGAATTCCTAATTTTTTGACAAAAATGTAATACTGTCTCCCAGAATTTTTGGTATTCCTGTGTCAGGTAGCACTAAGGTTATAAGTTTTGTTTAAAAATGTAGACGCTGACAACACCACATGCTGATGACAATGGAGCAGCAGGAACCTCTCACAAAACTGCTGGTGGGAACGCACATGGTACAGCCACTCTGGAAGACAGTGTGGCAACTTGTTGCAAAATTAAACACACTCTTTTATATGATGATCCAGCAGTTGTGCTCCTTGGTATTGATCCAAATGGAGTGGAAAACATGTCCACATAGAAACCTGCACATGGATATTTATAGCAGCCTAAACATGATTGTCAAAACTTGGAAGCAACCAAGATGTTTTTCAGCAAGTGAGTGGCTAAATGCACTGTGATACATCCAGATTAAAAGAAATGAGCTATCAAGCCATGAAAAGACACAGAGAAGCCTGAAATGCATATTACTAGCTGAAAGAATCCAATCTGAAAAGGCTACATGCTGTATGATTCCAACTACAAGACATTCCGGAAAAGTCAAAACTGTGGAGTGGGTTCAGGGAGAGATGCACAGGCAGAGAGCGCAGAGGATTTTCACTGCCGTGATACCACGATGACAGATAAATGCCATTTTGCATTTTTCCAAGGAATGTACAACACCTAAGGCAAACTATGGACTTTGGGTAATTATGAGGTGTCAGGGTAGGTTCATCTCGGTAAAAATTGTACCATTCTGGTAAGTGATTTTGATAATGGGGTAGTGATGCATGTGTGGGGGCAGGGAGTATAGGGGGGTGCTCTGTACCTCCCTCTAAATCTTGTTATAAATCTGAAACAGTGCTTGAAAAGTAAATGTGTAAATACTGTTAGTTCTCATATTTTATTTTGTGTATTGATTTCAGTACTTTTAGTTGAGGGAGATCTTTTAAAGCATGCAGATTTTAAAAATTATATAGATTGCCTTGTCAAAAAGCCAGAAAATCATACCGGGAGGTTTGATAGGAGCCTGCTAAGAACACATTAAATTATCTTTATCTTAATGCTAAGTGTTTGTGGAGTTACTTGAATTTATTGTCTTTGTTTACATTTAAAATTTTTATAGATTTGATAAATAAGGATAAATCTACCTATTAAAGGACCAAAAAAAGATCACCAAAAAAGGATCCTCGTGATTACTGAGTTTTATAGCATCTATATCAGATTCTAAACCCTTTAGCTACACTGCAAAAACTGACAGCTGGGCTACAAAATGCCTTCTCCCCACTTGCTGTGGGATGTGCTAAAATGTGGCCACTGTGGCAAAGGAAATGAGTCAAAAGAAACTCTTTTAAAAAGAGTCACTAAAGAAAACATGGAGATAGATACTTTTCATTGCCTGTGATTACTTAAGTAGATCTCACTAATGCATTTGTTAGACATGGTTGATTAATGTAAGGAAGAGTTGGAGGTAGCTTTGAAAAGAAATAGTAGTTGAACCAATCAACAGAAACTAAAGCTACCTCCAGTATCTATATGCAAAGGTTTTGAAAAGGTCACTCTGTGGTAAAACACTGTTAATCAGAGTGTTTTATGGTGTTTTATTTTTGTTGCTATTGTTGGCATTATTTTTCTCCTATAACTCTTCTAAGCCTGAAGAAGTTGAATTTTTGTATGAGAATCAAATTCTCATTAAGCCAGCCTTTTTGCATGCACTTCTACTATACTCTAAAGGTGAATTCTTGCTGCTTGATCTCAGCAGCTCTTTTATGTATTCAGTTAAACCTGGAAGAGTGTCTGTGGAACATTAGATTAATTGTGAGGCGCATTTGAAACAGCTTCTGTTTCATAACCCTTTTGTAGAACTTTCAAGCTCTATTTAGATAATAGTATGCAATGAATTAAGTGGAAAACTTGACATTTGTCTAGAGAAAGTTTATTTTCCTATCGATGTCTGTGCTTTTTGTAACCTATACACTGAATTTTATCCTCAGTAGACCTTTCGAGTCTAGAAAATAGGGAATCTGTGAAAATCTGTGCCCTCGTAGAAGGCAGGGACATGACTGAGTCATAGTCATGACTTGGTGACCAAGGGCTGAGTTCCCAGGCTGGATGGATCAATGAAAGCCTGGGGAACTTGCCATATTGTTTTTCACTCTTTCCTGATTAATGTGGATTTCAGTCACTCAGCTTCAGGATTGATGATTGATTAGCTCTCCATCTCCCCCTAAAGAGAATAAAGTTGAGGTTTACAATCTAAAGTATGAGTAGGTGGTGATTTTTAAAAGTCTTCACGTGCCTGTATCATACCTCAAATACCTTAACCATAGGTTATCATATAACCCTGAGTAGTAATACCTTAAAAATAGATTTTAGCGTGGTCATTTAGGGGGTTATTTGTTGTCCTTACTTTGTTTGATCTGTTTGTCACTTTAGTGGAAGCAAATGTAATGCTAAATATACCATTTTTAAAAATTTCCCCCTCGGGACCTTGATTAATGACCTGGACAAAACAAAACAATTTCAATCATGCACTGTTTCTCTGTTACTCAGTCTGCTTTTAGGTTACCTTTAACAGCTTTCTTGGTAAAAACATTAATGCTAATATTAACCAAAACAAAACCCAAAAGGTGAAGATATAGTTAAAAATATATGTATTTTTAGGCATATCCATTACATTGTTCTTTCAGGAAGGTACCAGATATTTGACAATAGAGCTGACAGTAATCTGTATAAAGAGTCCTATTGAATATAGTTTATTTTTTATGAAATTATTTTAGTTGAACAATTTAAGCATTCCCTCCCCTCAGGATTTCAGGTGGGTGTGATTTGTCCAATTTTATTCTACTTTTTCAAAACAAAATATCTAGATTTCCAGATGCTTTACTAATTTTATATATAGTGAAACAAAGTTCTCTTCCTCTCAGTATTACTAATTAGCCAATTATTTCCCATCAGCATTATCTATATCAGTTGTAAGCCCGAGGCAGTTTTATTCCTCCCAGGGACATTGTGCAATGTCTAGAGACCTTGTTGGTCGATACAACTCGGGGGCTGTTACTAGCAGGCAGTTTGGAGGGAGGCAGGGATGCTACTAAATGTGCAGAACAGCCCCCTTCCCCCACCAAGGCTTAGCTGGCCCTAAATGTTAATAATGCCTCAGTTGAGGAGGCCTGATGGATGTGACCTCATCTTTCAAGTGCAGGGGAATGAAAGCATCACCGGTAAGTATTTGTGCTGCCAGGACACTGCGTAGCCGTTGACTCGCTACGAGGAGGATTTGAGGTGGCTCGCCGTGGTATGACCGAGCTATTCCTCCAAGGTTTTCAGTTATAGCACGTTACCAATTTGTCTCTGCACTTTTTAAGTTACAGAAATGGCTTCACTTCTTGAGACTGAATTAATGGGATTCTTTCTTTGTGTGTGTGTGTGTTTTTTAAGCACTTAAATATGCCTCCAGTGTTGCGAAGGAGAAAACCATCCTTCTGTTCGTCACTGGGCTGCTGCTCACTACGTTCGTCATTGTGGGAGCCATTCTCTTCGTGCCTGGTGAGAAGGACGGTTACTCTGAGGGAAGTCAAGTTGGATAAGTTTAAGACCATTGCGGGGGGAGGGCCTTCTGGTTTCCTAGGGCTGCTGTAACCAACGACCGCAAACCGGGGGTCTTGAAACAATCGCAGTCCTCTCAGCTCTGAGATCAAGCTGTCTCATGACTCTGCTCCCTCCCAAGGCTCTAGGGGAGAACCCAGTCCTGGTCTCCTCTGCTGTCGGGTGTTTGCTGGCAATCTTTGCCCCTCCTTGGCTGGTGGCCGCATAACTCCAATTCCTCTGTGTTAAATCTCCACCCGCCTTTCTCTTCCAGAGACACTTATCGCTGGGTTTAGGGCCCACCTGGTTAATCCAGGATATGTGCCTTCTTTCAAGATCCTAAATTTATTCACGTATTTTGCCATATAATGTAATACTTACTCTTTGGCTGTATAAATAAATATTCACAGACCCCTGGGTCTAGGAGGTAGACAGATCTTTAGGGCCACCATTCAACCCCCTGATGAAGGCCAACTTCATCAGCCAAGACACGGAAGTGGGAGTGAATGTGGGAAACAAATCGATCTGAAACTGTTTGCATTTGGAGGATGGGAAATAGGCTTTGCCCAAGCACATGGAAGGAACAGCAAGGACAGGCTGGGACTCAAAGTGTAGACTGTAGAAAGCCACTGTGGTGGTTTGTTTTTTTTTTAGCAGAATACAGTATGGGTGTAATGCTTAGGAACAGAAATTTGGCAGCTCTGTTTGCAGCTGGATTTAGGATGTGGGGAGGAAGGAGATGAATTCAGAAGACAGAAAGAATAACTATTTTGATTTTGGGGCAGATTGAATATTAGCAAATGAAGGGATTGGTAAGAGAGGTTCCAAGGTAGTTAAGAAGGAGGCAAAGCCAATTCAAGGTTTCAACATGTTTGGACTTAGATGTTGACATTTAGATGTCTTATGTTCAGTCTTAAATTTAAAAAAGTCACGTATTTTGTGTGAACTTTTGGGGGAAGTATATATTTTTAAACGCTTTGCACTTTATAAGAACAGTATTGAGATGAATACATTTAATATATTATTTTAACTTCGCAGGAAGTATATAGGAAAATATTTTAAATATTATTTTTATTTATTTACAGGTGAATATTCAACAAAGAGGGCCAGTGGACTTGGTTTAATTGTCGTTCCTACTGTGATATTGATATTGCTTCAGTACTCTGTGTTTATGATATGTAAGTATTTGTTTTAGTATGATCGTCCCCAGCTTTTTCATTTAAAAAACAGCATTTTTGATTAAAATACTCTTATATGGGTGTGTTTTTTAATAATTCAATAAAAGTTGGTTTATCTCCCTAGCTGTTCTTGGTGAAATTTTTCCCCATATGGATTAATTTTAAGGTTATATTAGGTTTTCAAGGTATTTATTTTCTAAAAAGTGATTTTCGAGATATATTTAATGCCAGTCAGTGGATTTTTAAAATTATGCTATATAATTTCTTAATGATTACCTTCATATACTTCAAGTTTTTGAAGTTATAAGTAGCTATTAAATATTCTCGTTCTCTTCTTTTGCTCAGCCTCTCTTTTAAAAAAAACTAGTTCTACAAAATAGGGTTGTAAATCATAAAGAGTGGAAATACATAAATATATATATAAGTTATTGGCAAATCTTAACATTGTAGCTTTCAAAGATGATATAGATATCCAACCTATAATTGGTAACATTTTCACTGCATTTTGGAAGTAAATCACTAAATATTTTTGTTGTTATTAAAGAATCTCCCCCC